ATTGATTATATAGACCGATCAGGCTATACAAATCATCCCGATCGGGATTTATAGCCCAATCGGGATAATCGTATAGGCCGATCGGGATAAATATCCCGTTCGGAATATAAGTCATGACTCCGCACTGACTAAGCCTGCAATAACTCTTTCTGAAAGCGCTTTTTAAAAACCTAGAGGCCAAACATTCTGTTGAGAGACACTCTTGTTACAAAAAACGTGAATTGTCACAAATTTTCGTATTTTCTGAAAAATTATCAAACTTCTATGATTTGTTCATGGCTCATTTGAAAGAGAAATGTTTACTCTATAAGCTCAAATAGTTAGACGTAATAATATGTTTAACTATCTAGGACTAAATAATAGAAAACTAAGATATTCCATATTTGTAAATTTGCATTTTTCTCAGTACTTTCTAAATATAAGCCATGTATATGGCGGTCCTAAGATAAATCTTAGTTCATTTTGTAGAGCAGGCAATTCTGCGTGGATTTATATGTAATAGAACATTTTAAAACACTAAGATGATGTACTATAAATCAAATATTGGAGACAGGCATATGTTTCGTCGTTTTCTTACTTTTCTAAATTTTAATAAAAATCTCAAAGATTTGGATATACAAACTATTTGTGATTACAGATGTAGAGCAAACAGTCTTCTACAAGATGAAACGTCGGCGAGCTCTGTACGATGGTTTTTGTATGGTTTACACGCACTTTATGGCAAGCTCTGTATTTGAGACCCGTCTCCTACTGGTTTCTCCTCGGTTTTGATCCGTTGACCAAATGCAATAACCTACGTTGCAAAAGTAATTGGACAAATGTCGAGCATTATTTATACATGTTCCCGATGTGCTGGAAAGTTAATTATTTTTCCATTGGAAAGAGCAAAGTCTGAACTTCCAAAAACATGGAAAGCCAAACTTTTTGTGGTGGAGTTTGAGTGAGAAAAAATTTAAAATGAATACATTCATTTTTATCCCTTCTTCAGTAGATCTTTCATATAGATTTTTTCAATTCGCTAAAAACGCGACATGATTCTCTCTATTTTTCTATTACCTGGAAATTAACGGTGGTAAAGATACGCTAAGACGGAAAGTTAGGTTTAAATTGCCCCAATGAATGTCAAGTCACGTAGATCCTGGCAACTTCGGCCTTCTAAGCGTATCTTGACCAATAACGACTCAGTGTAAATGTACTGACACTTTATTGACGTTTTCTGATTGATCGGGTATGTAATTTACTTGAAAATGTCGCTGTACAAGTAGTTATCTATTCTATTTGTGTTTCGAAAGAAAACAAGTGAAAAGCGTTAACTCTTTGAGGTTCTAAAAAACCAGGATTCTTATGAAATTCAAGAGATTTTGCTGATAGCTGTGTATTCAAGAAAGAAAAACCAGTCATAAAAAAACGTCGGCATTAGTGCTTCTACAGTGGACCCATAATAACCAAACAGATTATAAGAATAGCAAGCCAGATACACACACGCAAGTAAACACTATTGTTGTCTTAACACTTCCTTCCAGTAGTAGTATTTACTAGTAGTAGTACTTCCTTCCAGTAAGTTGTATCACAAAATTATAGGAAAAAGCACTGACGAGACACTTAGGATTATTTTCGGATAATGTTAAGGTTTTTTTCTTGTTTTTTAAATAATGTAAACTATAAAAGAATGAATAGGATAGGCAGGACATGCACACAATGAAAAAAAAAATTTCAAATTGAAACAAAACGTTAACAATTATAATTACAACTGATACGTACAGAATGATAATATTTATATTGATCAGCTCGCGTTATATCTAGTAGCTTCATAAGTTCAGCATCTCTGGTATCCCAGAAACCGATAGGATGATATGTATGCAACTCAATCGAAAAATGGAGATTTTTAAAAAATTCATTATTATTAAATGATGGTAATATTGTATCATTTATATTTTTAATCAGAGTTTCTCCATTATTACTATTATTATTACTCTTATCACAAAACTTTGTAGTTATATCAATAGAAATTTGCTTTAATTTTGTTAATTGACTTAATAAATTTTGCCATCGTTGACTATAGAAAAAATGATTCCATGGATATCGATAAAAATTAAATCGAACACCTGATGAACCATCAATGTTTAAATAATATAAGTTTGGCATCTATAAAAAGATAGAAAAAGAAAATCATAAGATGGCACAGCTTTTTTCACTAAGATCAATGGCAATGGAATAGTAAATCGTAGAGAAACTTACATTTTTTAAAAGTAATTCAAAATGTCTAAAATCCGAATAATCATTTTCAATAATTAAATGAAATTTTATTTTACATTTTAATGGATATGGTGAACGAACGTACGTATGTAGGGCAAGTTGTAGACAGTTTAAATTTAAATGTAAAAGGTTTGGTAACTGTTTACATAATATAAATAAATAACTCAAATTGAAACAAGTATAACCAGCTAAGGTTAAATATTTCAGATTTGTTGCGAATAACCCATTATCAATATGGAAATCATAATAAAAGTACTGTCCAATAGTTCTTGTCGTAGTAGTAGTAGTAGTAGTGCAAAACTCAAATCTATAAAGTGATGGAAATTTTATCTTAAATAAACTATTTATGATGTAACATTGTAATTCAGTGTCCATGAGTTCATCTAAATGCAATAGCAGACCCAAAATAAGAAAATGGACCTAAACTTCTATTCCTATAAAACATTGCCTGTGAAACTTTTCTACACCTGTAGACCATAACACGAGCTAGCTATCCAAGTAAAAAGGACCTAGGTATAGGAAGTTTACTATCGATCATTAAAACTTGTCTTACGTCCTAGACACTTTTGAAGAAACCATTCTAATAGAAATGACGTATTAAAATGGACATATTCTTTTTTACAAGTTTAACTTACCTGAATTTAGAATAGCTAAACATTGCAAATTTGGTAAACATTCATGTTGTTGACAGCAGTCGAGTAACTGTCTAACATTTTCGTTCGTTAAGCCATTTAATATTAATGATCGTAGAGATAAAAAATTTTGCTGCTCTTTATCTTGAAATAACAAACGGATACACTTTTTAATACTGACTGGGTTGTTATCAGCACTCATTTCTTTATTTGCGTCGCCGAAAGTGTTCGAATATTGTTTCAATGTTAAACACTGAGTTTGATTTGAAATTTGTAATAGAAAAATGTTTTTAATAAAATCGGTCTGAACATTGTTGTTGTGGTTATCAAGTATATAATGGAAACGTAGACGATAATCAAATAACAGTAGATTTAATCTTTGATTTAAATTATAAAAATTTGAGAATAATTGACCAACTTCAATATGTTCAAAGATGATCATCAGAATTTCATCACACAATGATTCAAATTTTGACAAGCACATTATTTTTACTCTTACTTAATTCTCTATCGTGTTAATTTATTTGCTAAAGAAAAAACGAAAGTGAAGGAGCATAAATCATCTAGATTTATATCTACGGACAAAAAACATATTAAACACACCATACTGTTATGGACACTGACAGTCTATACATAATACACAGTTTCTCTGTATTGTACGATTATTTTTCTTCTACTCCTCATATCGTTGGTCTGTCCTTTAAACAGTTGGCTAATTAATAATATCTATAAAACATTTCGTTTTTATTCGTACTACCGTTAAGCAAAGAAGACTAGAAATGAATGACTTATTTCTCATTGTCTACTTCATCTAACTTTCTTAACTTTCCAATATGTGTGCTTCCTCTTTGTCGTCGTCAGTACGCACCGATGGTCGAAAAGGATAAGAAAAATGAAGATAGTATTAAAAATTATGATAATAATGTGAATAGCAGCACTTTTATGAATGACTGAAACGATCGAATGAGCATTGTATATTGAAAATCTTCCGATGTAGTTAGAATATTCTTCTTAGAATGACGGATACTTTCATATTGCGTTTACTTCTTGCCTAGCTGAATAGTTCTCAAATCAGTGGACAAAAATAAAGCTTTTCTGAGTTGCAGAAAAGGGCTTTTTCGGATTCAGCTCAGTCGACAGCCTAATAGCTTTTGTATTTTTGACAAGGGATACTTTCGAAAGTTAAAGAAAAATTTTCAAACTAATATTCTTTTCCCATAGATATTTTTTTGTGGCATTCTATTTGAAAATTTTTCTTTAACTTTCGGAAGTATCTCTTGTCAAAAATACAAAATCTACTATGTTATCGAGTGAGCTGAATCCAAAAAATACTATTCCGCAACTCAACACAGAATTAACTAACTGTGACAATTTGATAATATGTATTCGTTTGTTGTATTTTTTATTTTAAAAAGTGATACAAACATGTTGAATAGATAGAAAAATTTGGAAATTTCTTTTTTGCTGGATCTCGACGTATATAAGTTGATTGTGAGCAATTCAAATTACTACATACAAGAAAAAAATTTCATTGCATCAAATAAAAAGAGAGAAAAAAGAATCACTTTAACACAAATGAACATATATATACAATTACATTCATATCCGCAAAGATCAATAATATGACGACGAAAAGTGTTTATGACTTTCAAAATTCCTTTGATAGATAAAAAGCATACAGGATTTATTTCTATTATTTTGTTTTTTCCTACTACATTGACAGTAATGTAACAAAAGATCAACAGTTGGATATAGCAACGCAATAAACTTTATTGCGTACCTTAAGGAGACAAATTTACTTTGTCTCCTTAAGGGAAAAGATATTAATTTCTTATTTTTAACGAATCTAAAGTTCTAAAACGAATCTTTTGATCCGGTTATCCGTTACTCTCATCTCAAACACTTTTGATTGTATTAATGAAATGAAACTTCGGTTTCCTAGTTTACTTATGTATAAAATATGACGTAGTGTTTAGTTTAATTAATTTTCTGTGATAATGTCAACTATTTGACGATTATCGTTTTTATTAAAAAGTTTCGAGAAAATATTCTCATTGAGGTTATGTGATTTTGTGATATATCTATTTCGATTGAGATATATTTCTCTTCAAAACGGGATGTGTATGTCAATTGGGATATGTGACGTGAGATTTTACTGTTGAAACGTGACTTGTTTTGCACAAATTCTGAATTAAATACCCGTCTTATTTTAACACCTTGATTATACGTAATAGCCTGAGACAAAGTTGTTTTTTTATTTAAGCTATTAATATGTTTTTAGACCTCTGATACTCGGACATAAAAATCAGTCTCATTTTTCAGAAAACGTAAAATCCTCTCCGATCTTCCGACTCCCTTAAGGATATTTTTTCAATCAACGAAGGTTTAGATGAAGCTTCAAATCCACTCCTTCATCTTTTCATATACTAATTCTTATACGGGTATTATCACGTGATGCAACAATTTCCAGAAACGTTTGCTGCAGACGATCGCCCAAAATCACCACCCAAGGAACTACTAGCAGAGCTAGGCGGCACTTGGTCATCAAGCAACCTCATCACTCTTGCTACCAATTATTCAATTTTCCAAAAACAAGCCAAAGTTCGCTGAACATGCATTCAAAGCGAAATTTCGACTATAATAATCAACAATTTCGATGACGACAATTTATATTGACACCAATACTCCATGAATAAAAGTCAGTAACTTTTAATGATTATATATGCATTTTAGGATATCCAACCTTTGCAAGAATTCACAGTCTAGATCATATGCTGACCTTGAATAGATTGTAAAAGAATCACATTCAATAGACTGAATCAGACTTGAACTCTACCCGAACAAACGAGTCAGAATACATACACTATTT